CCAAAGCCATAATTACTAATTTTACTTTAGTCTCATAATTTCAGGTTATACATATCCTGAAAATAGTTTCCTTTGTTCTTTGTGTATCATTTCCTGAAGAAATGATAAAGTGGAAAATTGAATTCTTTTTTTTTTACCACAATTGCAGGATTGAAAACATGTTTTAAATTTAAAATCTTAACATCACATAGGAATATTTGAAACCATATGATGCACAGAGGGTGCAAAAGTGAAATTTATATGCATTGAATGTTTTGTGTTTGAAAATATGGTGTGATTCCTCATGATTTTTAGAAAGGTGTCTGGAATTTTTGCACTGAAGCAAAGTGGAAATGTAGTTGGGTTTCCTGCATAGTAAGATAGAAATGTCCATTACTTCTTCAAAAATCATGAAATAGTTCTGATTTTGCAACATTGGCATGTAGACTTGCCAAGAAATCTGACCATCAGCTAAATAGCTGTTTCTGGGAGATAAAGCCTTGAAGTCTCAGCTGAGCATGCCAGGAATAAGCTTCTATCTCAAGGCATTGGTCGGATTCTATGTGATTTCTTTTTATTGAATTGTAATTGGCTTGGGGAGAAGTGTGGGGAAGAAAGCACACTTACTTTCAATACCCTGGTCCAGATTTACTCTATAACCAGGAAACTGCTACCAGGGAGCAACACATTAATATGCATTTCCCAGCTTGCTGGCTTTTTGACACCTGATGATGTGGCAGTACATTTTAGATGATAAGGAAAATCCCTGATCACAGCAGGAACATCTGTTTTTTTCTGGCAAGAGGGAAAGTCTTCCCCCATCCAGCACACAGCTGAATGGATGCTTGGGGCAGCCTCTTAAATGGAAGATTAAAATAATTTAAAACATAAAAATAAACAAGGAGAGTAATTCCTTATAGTTATTTTTCTTATAAAATCTTTAAAGTACAGGCTTTAGTGGAATAAATTATGTCTTGTCATTAGCAATTTTAATCATTAGTATTTTTCACATTGATATTACTGAGTTTTTTTAAGTCTAAAGATTGCTGTTTTTGTTTTGATGTTTACTACTGTACAGAAATGAGACATTAATTTATTCAAGTTATGAAATTGATTTAAAATACATTCTATAGTTAAATTTTCTAATTCTATTATTTATTCTACTATAATTTGCTGAACTTTTAGTACACATGAATTAATGTATGGATTCATTAATGACTTCCCCATTATAAAAATTATAAAAAATTTTATTATGAGGAGTTAATGTCAGCTTTACTTTTCTTATCCATTAACTCTTCAAAGTTGATATATAATTATAAAATTAAATAATTTTTCAAGTGTAGTGAAAAAAAGGTCCTGGCTGGGGTTGTGGCTCATGGTAGAGCACTTGCCTAGCATGTGTGAGACCCTGGGTTCTTTTCTCGGTACCACATATAAATAAGTAAAATAAAGGTCCATCAACAACTGGAAAAAAAAAAAAACCTCAAAAAATAGGTCCTTTAATCTTTAGCCATAATCTCCATACTTTGATTATTCTATGGTACCCTGCTGTATGAGCTACATGGCATAATGGACTTAAATGGAGAAATAACACTATTTTCATATGCAATTAGGAATAATCACATTTTCCAAGGACATTGTATACTGTAGGTGTGACATTAAATTGAAATATGCATACATCAATGGTACACATTTTTTAGTATAAATCTCAAAATACAATTATTACATTTCAGTGGAAGTACTTTTCATCCATGTTTATATTGATACATCTTTAAAGTGCTCCCTTAATAATTTTTGAAATAATTTATGAGAGTGTTCTTTTAAAATTCCAATTTTCTGAAAACATGTAAAATAGGAAACCTTAGAAATAATAAAGAAGCTGTCTCATTGGTGTAGGCCACTGTGTTAAATGCTTAGGTTTAAAGGTGAATGGTGATCTCTGTCCAGCCTTCACTGTAATAGTGGAAATAGCAATTTTTAAAATTAGCTAAATTATAAGTTAGAACTATAATTAAAGTAAAATTAGAATATAGAGGTAACAAGAAGCATGACATGATTAGTTCTGTTGAGAACCGGGGAATGCTCTTTAGTGAAAGTAGCATTTGAACCTGGGGTTTGAAGAATGTGAACTATTTGGGTAGAAGAAATGTTGTTGGATGTCTTAGCTCATAAACAGGGTGAGTGAAGGTGAAGAGGAGAGTGTGGGAGTGTAAGCACAGTCACCTGAAAGTTCCTCTGTCTCTGTACAGTGTTTGCCACAAAGGCCACGTGTTCCAACATATATTTGAGAAAAATTCTCAGCCAGGAAGCAGCCTAGAACATTATTTTTTAGGGCTAGAGACCGCGTCCTTTTGGAAGGCCACTGTTGTCATTTCACATGAATGATACATTGATCCTGAAGTGCAGTTATGGTCAAGAAATAAAATCTAAAAAAAGAATATTGAAACCACAAGATTTATGAACTATGGTGATTATAAAGGAAGGAGTTGAGTTTGATTCCGAATATGTTTGGGAAGGGTGCATGAGTTGACCTAGGAGGTGAGTTTCATTTTGGATCTGTCGTGTTTGATGTTTCTTTGAGGCTTCCAATTGTAAATTTATACTGAGAATTTAGGAAGATATTTAGTATTTGTGACCAGTGCCGTGTTATCAGGATAGATGGTTTTGAAATTATGCAATTTTTTTTGAGCTTGTCCAGGGAGACAGTAGTGATCAGTCCATAAAAAGAGACCTTGAGGACCCGTTTTAGGAATAAGAACAGGGATGGGGACTCAGAAGGAGCAAAGGAGTACCAGCTGCAGACAGAATTCCAAAAGGGGAAAAAATTGAGATGGTAGTAGAACCAGATCTATTATTTTAAAGATGTATATATCCCTTTTCACGTGATATTTTATCACTATGCAAACATCCAATTCCCTATCAACTTTTCACCTAACGTTTAACAATAATTAATTGAATTAATTATTCTCTTAGGAATTAAAAATAGTTGATTTTTCTAATTCTATTATTTATTCTACTCCATTACTTGGCACATTTCTGAAAAGAAAAAACTTTCCCTTGTCACTTGGCACTGTTGGTTTTTATGAAACCTTTCCTACTGAAAAGACAGGATAGGTTTTTCAGACCTTCTGTTAATGATTTAATTTCTAAGCAAGGAGTTGGTGTTATAATCATCTTAAATGGGAAATGAATAAAAGAAGGTTCCTAGTGAATGGAAACTCTAATATCCCTTACATAAAAATTGCATTTCACCCTATTTCTAATTGTTCTTCTCTTTGTAGACATTTAAGTTTCTATCACTGATTATCTATCCTTTGTGGCTTATTTGAAGTTCTTGTCAGTGTATTTATGGAATATGCTGCAAAATAATTTTTCCTTTGCTTCATTCTGAAGCACACATTTTTAGGAAAGGCTCTTAGTATTTTGACATGTGGTGAGTCTCAGTTTCTTTGTTTGCTCCATTCCTTTCCTTAGACTTGGGCATGTTTGCTCCTTATCATTTCCATGCCTGTAAGCAAGGTCAGCTCTAATCCCTGAGCATGGACCAGCATCCTTAATCTTATCAGCATTTTCTTGTGCTTGTGTTTATGTCCCATTACAGTCCCTTTACAAGCTGCACTGACCAGAAATGTATTGACTTTTACTAGTAAACTTTTTTATAGATTTTTTTTCTAATAAAAACTACTTGCTGCAAATGTTGGACTATCACAATCTAAAAATGATTTTAGCTTTTTCAGTTTAATTCTTCAAAAAAAAATCCAAAAGTTTCACATCAAAGTTTATATTGGTAAATGTATATTTATTGTTTCTTTATTTTCAAGTGTTATAGTATTGACATAGGTCCAAGACTACTCATTTGTACTTGTTTTATTCTCTGGTAGAACTAATAAAGAGAAAAGAGTAACCTGGTCTACAGCTAAGAGTTATACAATTCGATCATATTATTGCACTTAAAAAAATTGATAGTATGTGGTGCTTATATAGTTTAAGGAATGAGGAATAAGAATCAATTACATATATAATATTTATAGCCAGACTGCTCTTAGCAAAATTAAGAAGAATATTATATATCTCTTACTTTGACTAGATAGGCTAAGCAAAAGATAACATTTTAAATTTGTTCTTATGGAAGATAATTTAGATTTAGTTATGGAACTCAAAATTCAATTTCTCTACTTCGTCTTAGATTTGTCATTTCTTTTCTGAATATTAAAATTAAGTTTTAAAGCTCAAAAGTCAAAATAAGTTCTTATAATTTACTCTTGGAGTCATCCAGTAGCACTTGATTATTCTGAGGAATATTAAAACTTAGTTAATAAATATTTATTTATGTTAAGATATAGCTTATCATAACCATGTCAGAGTGAGTGATTATGTGTCTGTTAAAATGTCAGGTTTGTGATAGCTTTCACCTTATCTTGATATTTTAGTTAATCCTGACAGTTTCTGAAATAGATAACACAATAGCCCTGAGAATCTAAAATCTCTTACCCAAAGTTACAAAACTACAAGGATCCCAAAAGTAGCAAATCTATTAGCCTTCCTTATTGTCAACATTTTGGGTAAATTGTAGAAGACACCCCACGATGTAATTATGATGTTAGAAAGAAGAGTAAAAAGAGAAGATGGCACTATTAACAAATAATCAATGTCTCGCTTACAGATTTTTTTCCTTTTTAACTTTTTAAATATACTTGCTCAGCCTGGGGAAATTGAGTAAGGTGGGAGTATGAAGTATACCTAAGTGTTTTGTGTGTGTTGTGTGTGTGTGTGTGTGTGTGAGAGAGAGGGGGGGAGAGAGAGAGAGAGAGAGAGAGAGAGAGAGAGAGAGAGAGAGAGAGAGATTAGACTTCCCTGACCTAAGCACATTACATCATTTTTGAGGTCTAATGTGGGTGTAATGTTCTCATTCAGCTACTTTGTATAGACTTGGAAAAATATTTTAAATATGTGGAATCATTCTCCTACTACTTCTGGTCTGGTGTTTCACAAGATGCCTTTTTGTTTTTCATTTTGAATAGAAAGATGAAAACTACAGAAGCCTCCCACGGGATACTAGTAACTGGTCTAATCAATTCCAGAGAGACAATGCTCGCTCATCTCTCAGTGCCAGTCACCCAATGGTGGACAAGTGGTTGGAGAAGCAAGAACAGGTAACATAAAAGCCTCCTTGTACATGCATCCTTGGTGCAACATCCTATTTCATTCATACTTAAAACAAAGTTTCAAGTAGTAGGTTCTATGTCTGAGTCCATCTAAAACTAAATGCAGAATATTCTTGTGCTACTCAAAGGTTTCTTCTGAGTAGCTGTGAATATTTGCAGGAGATTTTCTGAAGTACTGCAGCTGGTAATGTTGCAGCAGCCCAGATATTTGGCATTGAATAATGCAGTTAGTGAGGACAATTTCAAGGATCTTCTCTTTTTCATTAGACAGAAAGTCAAGGAATCTGAAAGGCAAATTAAAACTTTTCATTATTCCTGACTTCACTTTATGAGAGGAATATATGCCATGGTGTTGTTTTAGAATCTAGTTATCTAGTTTATTTTTGTCAGGCAGGTTTAGGCACTTATACTTTTGGTTTAGTCAGCTTTTTTTTTTTTTTTTTTTTTTTCCTGCTGTGACTAAAAGGACCCAACCAGAACACCTGTAGAGGAGCAAAAGTTTATTTGAGAGCTCATGATTTCAGAGGTCTTAATCCATAGATAGCAGACTCCATTCTTCATGGTTCAAGCTGAAGCTGAACATCATGGCAGAAGAGTGTGGCAAAGGGTATCAGCTCACATGATCGTTAGGAAGCAGAGTATCCACTTGCCAGATATAAATATATACCCCAAATATATATATATATATATATACACCCCCTCCAGCCATACCCCGCCTGCCTTTACTTCCCACTCAGTTAATCTCGTCAAGGGATTAATACACTGATTGGGTTAAGACTCTCACAATGCAGTCACTTCTCTGAACTTTCTTGCAGTCTCACAAGTGAGCTTTTGGGGAACATCTCATATCCAAGCCAACACACCCTTCATAAATGTCAATGACTTATTTTAAGTATTCAGATTTTTAGAGTTTGGCTAGTTTACTTTGTGAAACAACCACCTAATGATTCATGAAGTCTGAATTGTTTACCATTTGCTAAAAAAAAAAGGGCTACAAATTCTGCTTGGTGGTAAAGTGCATGTTTACCACATGCAAAGTCCTGGGTTTCATCCCTAGCACCAAAGGTGGGAGGAGAAATAGCTGGACCAAGACAGTGTTATATCACTATTTGAAAAGTGCTGCTTCCTAGAAAGACTAAGAATTTACCTAGTAAGCTAATTCTTCCAATTAATTGTTTTTAATGTCTTGGATTCTTATTGAGTCATAATATTTTTCTTCCATTCCCCTTTCTCTTGCCCTTTTCTTTTGTCTTCCCGCCCCCTCCTTTCCTCTCTCCTTCATAGTGGGGAATCCCAGTGTTTTCCTTGTCATTGTAATAGTTTTTTAAAAAAGTCTCTGCCATCCATTATTGAGGCATAATTGACAAAACTGTATATATTTAAGGTGTACAAAGTGATGTTTTGATATATGCATACAATGTGAAGTCATTATCACAATCAAGACGATTAATAAATCTGTTACCTCTCATGGATAGCGTTGTGTATGTGTGAAATGAGAACATTTCATTTAATGTATTCTTTTAAAGAATTTCAACTCTGTAATGCCTTATTATTTACTGTACTCACCATGCTTTATATTGGTCTTATAACTAAAAGTTTGTACCCTTTGACCAATATTTCACATTTTCCTCCATGCCCAGCTCCTGGTAATATGAGTTCTATTTCACTTTTAAATATCAGTTAGACTATGTGGTATTTGTCTTTCTGTATATAACTTATTTCACTGAGTATAATGTTCTCTATGTTCATCCTTGTCACAAATTACAGGATTTCTTCTTTATTAAGGTTGAATAATATTCCTGTGTGTACCTCTGATTTTCTTTATCCATTTTTCTGCTGATGAATCCTTAAATTGTTTCTATATCCTGGCTATTATGAATAATTCTTTTATGAAATGGAAGGACAAATATGCTTTTAATGAGGTAATTTTATTTCTTTTAGAACATATCCATAAAGTGGAATTGCTGGATTAGATTGTGGTTCAGCTTTTACCTTTGAGCATCCATGCTGTTTGCCCCAGTGTCTGTACTAATTTACATTCCTAATGGCAGAGTGCAAGGGTTGCCTTTTCTTCATATCATCATTAACACTTTGTATCTTTTGACTGTTTGATAACAGTAGTCCTAACCAGGTAGGAGGTGACAACTCATGGTTTTGATTGACAATTCCATGATATTCAGTGATGTTGAACATGCTTTCATAGTTTTTACACTAAATACAAACATTTGTAATTCTTTGATTAATTAGTTATTTTTTTTAAAAAGTTCATATGGGTATAAAACTGTGTGAGCACTCAGTGGGAGAATGTTTTATTGTTTAAATATTTCAATAATTTTATATAATTAATAATTGTGTTGCCTAAATATTAGAATAGCAGTTTTCAGTTTAGATTAATGACATCAGTTGAAAGAAATTCTAAGCATTTTACATATTTTATCTCAGTTTGTGTTTCATATAGTACAAACCACCTAAAATAATTTTGTGAAATATTCAAATATGAACCAGCAAAAAAGGATAATTTTCCTTGTACACCACTTTTTGGTATTGCAAAGGTACTCATTTCTATCATATAGTAAGTATTAACATATCAATATTGAGATGGAAATAATTTTAAACAATTTTTTTTTAAAAAAATGGAGATTCTTCTTAGGAAACACTGATTTCTCAAAATTTCACATTTTTAAATGAATTGTTATTACAGTATTACTTTAAAATAAATGTTTTTAAGATTTGGATAGTTGAATTTGCTAGTTCCTGATACTGTTATTTGTTCAACAGTAAGTCTGGAGGGAGGGAAAGCCCTCCTAAGACTATATTTAAAACTCAGCAACCTCAAGGAAGGTCTGAATTCTCCTTCCAGGGTTCCCCTCCCCAATCCACCTTGACTGTCTTTTATTACTGGAGCCCTAACTATCACATCTTTCAAAAAGGATGGGGAACAAGGCCTTTGTCCTCTTTGTGGCTCTTTTTGAATGCAAGAAAGCCTTTCCCACAGCCTCCCAACAGATGCCCCTTAGTGTTTTGTTAGCCAAAATTGCATTACTTCTCTGCTCACTTTTAAATCAAAAGGAGTAAAATACCAGTGTTGGTTTAGACTATTGGAGCTTAACCCCCTGGAGTTAAGGGAAGAGGCTTTGTCATCACTGAATATTATCAAGGGGCTGTTAAATCAAGAAGGGAGGGCAGTATAGGCACACTGAATGACAACCTGCATTAGCTAAATATGCTAAATATGACATTTTAATTGAAATATTTGGATACAAAGATTGACAGCTCAGGGTTTTCTAAAAATGATACTACATTTAATTATATTATAAGGATATAACTAATTTTTTTTGAGAGAGAAAATTTTTAAATTATTTATTTTTTAGTTTTCGGTGGACATAACATCTTTATTTTTATTTTTTATTTTTTGTGATGCTGAAGATTGAACCCAGGGCCCCCGCGCATGCTAGGCAAGCGTGCTACCCCTTGAGCCACATCCCCAGCCCCATAAGGATATAACTTCTATCTACTGTTACAATTGTAGATTTGTTGTAAGGAAGTGGTACAGTTTCTTTTTGTAATTATAGTATAAAATGGTTGTTTTGGAGTATAAAAGATTGTTTTGAGAAAATGCCCCCCTAAGACTTAGTCTTGATTTGTTTCTGTTGACATTATTTGATATATTTGTTTCACGATAGGCAGGTTTTGGAAAAATAGGCACTCCTCATTCTATGTAGATGACATCAGCTAGTTGATTCCTAGGCCTAAACCATCTCCTTTGACTTAAGTTTAGAAAAAGATGATGCATTCATTAAATACGGTATGAATGAGACAGTATACCTAGAAAAGTAGAAGCAGTTGGTGATTTCTCTTCAGCAGAATTAGAGTGAAATTTATTTACAGAACAAGAATCCCCCCCCCACACACACACAGACACACACAAAATAAAACAAAGCTCAGAGTAAATTTCTTTGTCAGAAGTAAGCACTATTGTTTGGACAGAAGAAGAGTTATTGGTTCCACTTTATATACTGTCAGTGCAATTTGCTTATTTTGTTAACTATTCCCTATGAGTCATCTGACTTTAATGGCCCCATATCTATTTTGAGGCTTTTTTTCCTCCATAGTTCTTGCCATCCCAAGTAAAAAAAGTTTGCATCCCACAGAAGAAATAATGTTTTGTATTCTTAGAAATTTAAAAAAAAAAAAGAATAATGATCAACCCTCAGACTTTACAATTTGGGATTGCCAGGGCAGAACTCATGGCTGCCCTCCTTTCGTTATGCCTCTACACTGGAGAGGTCAAGAGAGTTCTAGGTTTTGTATGCCTTCAGTGCTTTTGTTTTTTGCTCTATTTCCTACCAGAGTGCTTGTCTCTCATTATCTCTGTTGTTGAAGGCAGTTGTTATCACATCAGCTTTGCCAATGGGAATAAACAGCTGAGAGAAAAGGACAATGGGTGCTTTGGAATGCTGAGCCAAAGGCACTTCCAGAAACCCAGAGTGTCTTGTTTTGGGCATGGACCTGATCCTACATAAGGGGATATTGAAGCTTCTTTCCTTCTGTCATGTTATTGGTAGTTTCACTTCTATAACAAAAAGGAGATGGTGTGTCTTCGTAGAACTCTGTATTGGGAAGCACTTGGGGTCAAGATGGCATGGTTTCCAGAAACAGTACTGCTTTCCAGAGACAAACTCACCTTGCTCAGAATCACCTGTAGCTCAGTCCTACATCAGATTCATCTCAAGAGGCAGAGGGCTGTTTATCTTTCAAAGGACATCCTTTTGGTTTGTCAATCTGTGACTTCCGTTCTCTGAAAGATCTCAGAGGAAACACTGAGGATCTGAAAAACTAAATGGATTGTTGAAAAAGTTTTTATGCTTCTGAAATTTTGATTCTGAGACTCAGAGGAAACAAAGAAAAAAAGCTATAGAACTCTTAGTTTTGATGTGGTAGTAGGTTTTAAGAAGTTTGAATTCTTTTAACCATTACCATTTCCCTGA